AAAAAAAATATTTTTTTATTATTAGGTAATTTCTTTCCGAATTTTTTTAGGGTTTCACTATTTAAACGTTGTAAGCCCTTTGAGGCAGCTCAATTTTGAATGAAATAAAGTTTTCTTGAATTTCTCTTCGTTGAAATTCTTTTCGTGTGGATTTTTGTCTTTCCTATAATCTTCTGCTGCATCAGTGTTTGTATTTGTATTGAAATGGTAGAAAAAGTCTCAGTTATATATCTTACAAGGTCGGGCAGAATTTGTGAAGAAAATTTTGCACAAATTTAGTACTGTGGTGGAGATTCTGTTTGGTACTGTACCTTTGGGATTTGGTTCGGCGTCCATATTGAAGAATACTACTCAATCGAGTTTGGAGAATATGGGTAATTCCACTTTGCCACCATTACATGCGGTTCCATCATATTCAATTGTTAGTGATAGACCTTTTAGAGATAGGTATATGAATGTTGATTCGGTTGTGCATGCTTTTAGCGTTTTTTAAGGTGTTAAGACTAGCTGTAGCCTTTTATGAAAACATTGGGAGTTGATTCTACTACATGGTGTGCTTTGACACTATTTGCTAATTTCTAATTTTTTTATGAATTTTGGGAAATCCGGTGTTTGAGTTTATGTATTCGTGCTGGATATCGTAGAAGAAGATAATACTTGTGTTGAAGAAATTTTGATTCTTGTTGAAGAGTTTGAATTTTTCGTTGCAGTCAAATTTATTTTTTCAGGTGGAGAAATCTTGGAGCTTCGTTTGTTGTATTGGAATTTGTATCAAGGTAAAAATTGTTAGATTTTTTGATCCAAATTAAGTTGGATTTTTTGAGAAAATATTTTTTCTTTCTTTGCACGTGTTTTTATTGGAAAAATATTGTTTCCCTTATTTCACGTGATTTTTTATATTGTTTCCATTTTTGTGGTATTTCTAAAGTTTGACATCCACCATTATAAATATTACTCTTTTCACAGTTTTGTATTACTGAATAATAGGATAATTGTGTACGCACAATTATTGTATTTGTTTTCTCCATATTAGCCAATTGAATAAAATATTTTGTTTATGTGACAATTAATTATTCTGTCTCTTTCTCTTATTGTTTGTTAGCAATCATATACTATATTACCTCGATCCATTTTATTTCCCAACAAAAACAACTTTTAATTGAACCAATCTTGCTACAAGTTAGTGAAAATCTAAATTCAATAATCCATAACCGAATCTTTAACTGATCTGCCTGCTTTTCATTGATTCATAAAATGAAGTGCCTGCCCGACTTACACAATGGATTTGATCAAAGGTTAAGATTTTTTACATGCTGCATTTTGGTTTTATCAGAAGTGGCAGTTTTACAAAGAAAAGTAAATAAACTAAACCATCAAAAACAGCAGCCTTCTTCAATTGTGACTTGAAATCCAAAAACTGCAGCCTTCTTCAATTGTGACTGTAGCATGCATTTGCATCAAAAACCCCAAAATACAAACAAAACCATTTATAAAGGCATATGTCTAATCAGCTGAAATATCTGTCACCACCAATACTTTTTGGTTCGCTTCCTGATAAACCGGATGCTGCTCTGCAATTTACAGGTAAAAATGGGGCTATGGGTTGTCTATGTGGTGCTGAACTGGCGGGTATCTCCCTGCAGCTGCTAGGATTCTCTGCTGCTCAATCTATACAGTAATCATAGTATTAATTACTGCCTAAAAAATCTAAAATTTGAAGACTGAGATATTGCATTACCTGGAAAAGTTCATGCAGTTTGTTCTTAAGGTAACAGTACTCGTATTCTAACAGCTCCAAGGCTCTCAAACACCTAAAATAGAGTGAAATATTTTGAGGGATTTTTGCCCTTAACTTAAAGTGTGCCTTCGTGCATAAACACAGAGAGAGAGAGAGAGAGAGAGATTGAACGTACCGGGCTCTGTTACTTTGCTCGGAAGCAGTGCGAAAGGCGACGCATACATTTCGGACTCTTTTGGCACCAATACTTGAACTGCTACCCATAAACTGATTTAAATGAGTACCCATTTTCTTGTAGTCTGAGAACTCTCTATCCAGCCTGTTTTTCCGCCATTAACACATAAATCAAAACCTATCTAATCAAATTAAATTATTCACTAATCTCTTAACCGCGTAAAGTGTATTTGCCTCCGTGCATGTATGATTTAAATGTTCAAAAGTAACCCTTTTTCAAATAAAAAAGTTTCAGACAGTTCCCATGCTTAACATGCGTGTATATGTGTGTGAAAGATTAACTTTTTGCCTGTATGCATGTATGTGTGTGAAATACTATTAAGAAGCTATGGGCTTGTAGATGGATACAGCAATAAATTTTTAAAATCTCCTTCAAGTAGCAAGTTCGAATGTCACCAAGAAGCTAATATGACGAGATATAACTAAGACAACTAAGACAAACGACTCGTAGTTTTAGCTCATATATTACTTCCCACCTCTGCATGTTGGAGTTAGAGCTGAGCCTTCCCTCCTCAGTATGTGCTTAAAGTGAAGTTTAAAAAAAATCTTCTTTTGTGTGTGTGTGTGTGAGAGAGAGAGAGAGAGAGAGATACAGCAATCCTCTGAGATTCCTCAATAGCTTCTCAGACTCGTGGAAGTATATGTTAACAACCTCAGAAACAAAGTTTGGAGAGGATTCATCTTGGAGCTGCTGGAGCTGCAAAAATTGCTCATCCAACACTCCCTGTAATTAATCAAACCACAGACAAATTTCATGCATAAATTACAGAATAAGTAAACATTCTTTTTTGGTGACAGTAAACAATATACTGCTTAACCCAATAAATAAGAATAACGGTAATCGTCGTGAATAATAGATTTTGCAGCAAAGAATTAAAACCTGGTGGAAGAGTAATGCGAGCAAACGATTCATGTCAGCCCGCAAGCGCTCCGCCCCGAATCCCAGCATCCACACAGGTAGACCCGTTTTGTCTGCTTCCTACTTAAAGCCTTAAAGAAGCAAGAAGAAGGAGAATAGCGAAACACGTAGGATATTTTGGGTGAATATGCCTCAAATATATACTGGATTGTGTTGGGGTATTTAAAGGAGGTTTAAAGGTGTATTGGTTTTCTCAGAGAGAATGCTGAAAGTGTAGATGGGATAGCAGCTACTTAAAGGGTAATGGCATAGGTCCCACCAATTCAAAGAGGACAAATTTGTTCTCTCTCTTACGGTACCACAGACGCGCCCTCACAGATAAGGTTGTTTGGTAGAGATTTTTGGGGGAAGAACTAATTTTTGAATAGTGATATAATGGAAAATGTGTGGTTGAAAAAGAAGAAAAAAATATTGATATGATGGAAAATATTATTTTATTGAAAAATGTGTGGTTGAAAATGAGAATTGATTTACTCTAGAAAATAAAAATCTGTACCAAACAGGCCCTCAGCCCCTTATTTCCAATTTTAATTTTTAAAATAATATTTTTCCTAAGAATAAAGAATGTTTGATTGACAAAAGTAAGAAAAAAAATTTTGATTTACTTATAATATTTATTTTATGGAAGATTGTATTATTGAAAATAAGAAAAAGAATAATAAAATTTTGAGATAATAGGGAGGGCAAGACAACTCTAGATTGCCTTTAGACATGCCCATTAATAAAAAAAAAAAAAGTTTCAAATAGTATTTTTTGTTCAATTTGAAAATATTGTCATCATTTCTTTTGAGATTATCCAACTATTACTTTGATGGTACAATTAGAGGTATAAATTAATGAATAAAACTATTTTATCAGAAGGATTTGACAAAAAATTTAACATAATCGGTGCTTTTTGGTCTGGTAATTTTTACTTTCACAATAAACTTTCACTCCCAAAATATTCTAGAACAATTAGGAAGCAAAATGGAGCACGAATTGTCAGAATCGTACGGTAATAATTGCACTGGCTGTGAAATAATTAATTTGGAAGCAAAATTGATGCAAGCGAGGTAAATGTGGGGTATTCACCAGACCAAACTTTTACTCACCCCCTAACGGTAAATTTTACTTGTACTGTTGTACATCAATTTTTGTACTTAAGGGGCTGTACCTTTCTCGCATGGGTGATGAGATCCACTGCATAAAATATTTTTTTATTTAAGCGGGTCCCACCCCCATGTGAGGAAGGTATACACCCCGATGTACATTGTGATGTACAAATAGCAAACCTCGATGAGACACTTCGTGTGTGCACAGTAAAAACACTTTGAATGACTGTTCTTTGACAAAATAAACAAAAACTTTTTTTTTAATATAAAAATTTCTATAATTGAAAGTAAATTTTCTTACATGTCGCTTCTCCATTTTCAGGCTGGGTTACAAATGAGTTTATCATAATATAAATTTATTTTAGATAATTATAAAAATCATTTTTTAAAGATTGAAATATTCTCAAAAGTGATAACTACTATATTTGTGGTTCTAATGTGAAAAAATATCAAAATTCGTGGATATCATATAGATGAGTATTTATATTTTTATTCATTTTACGCGATATTTGAGCATTCAATTATTATTGTACTAGAGTTTTAATCTAGGTGGTAGATAAATAAAAATGGAAAAGGAAACATGATATACAAGACACTTGAAAATATTATTTCTAACAAAAAAAAAATGGTATAAGAAAACAAGGGATAATTGTAGCAAAAGTCTCAAACATTTGAAATATTAGTAGACTTTCCCAAAACTTTTGATTTGTTACAACTGCCAACTCTAACCTTTTCAAACGTTACGAGTGAAGTCCTTTTTGATGACTTCCATCAATTTCTCCGTTAGTTAACCACCAAAATAAAAAAATTAACCACTTTCTACCAAAATATGGGAGAACAAAATGGTAACTTACTATTTTTTCCATAAAATAATTAAAATGATACATAAAAAAATAAAAAGGAAAATGTATTTTCTTCTCCTTCACCCCAATCCCAACCCCACCCCCACGCACAAGCACAAGTCCAACCTCTCAATCCAAAACCATAAATCTGTCTCCGCCACACCCACCGCCATTGACCATCACCATCACCGTGAACACCAATTCTTTGTTAAATCAAGAACAATCGCTTCAAGAAATGAATAAAAAAAAATGAAAAACCTAAATGGAGCCGCTGCACTTTACCACTTTAACCACCACCTTGCCGCTTCCAAAGCCGTCGGAAAAATATCTCCCACATTGATGGCATCACACTTTCAATATAAAATAGAATCTCTTCAGATAAGAAGAATAATGAATCAGAAAATGTGGAAAATATCTTTATTGTTTCGTTACAACAAGGACTACCAAATATTCTAAAAAAATGCCTGACAATCTGTCTCCATGTCAAACTAACATTTGCAACAATGGTTACAAGTGGTATTACAATCCTCTACAAGAATTACTTAGAATACATTTTCTGCACTTGAAGATAAAAGAAGCAAAGAACCCTACTGCACTTCTCCAAAATTTTCGACCACTTACCGACAGTTTGTGTTGGCTTCAGCGACTTCCGCTGGCACCGATTGTGAGAGACGGATTGGGATTGGATTTTTTTTTTTTCTTTTTTTGGTGATTTAGTGGTTAGAAATGGGGGTAAGTGGAGTGGAGAGAATTGGGATGGATAAATAAGATGGTGTTTACTTTTCTTTTAATTTTATTTAATTATTTTAATAGATATTTACTATTTTGCCCCCTTATTAATCGATTAAAATATGGTCAAACTTAACTTTTGTGTCAATTAACGGAGAAATGGATGAACTTGCAACTTTTGGAAAGATTAGGGGTGACGATTGCAATAAATCAAATATTTGGAAAAAAACCTACTAATATTTCAAAGGTTTTGAACTTTTGCTACAATTATCCTAGAAAACAATGAACAGAAAAAATATTTGACAATCATTTAAATTCTATTTATTTGTTGATTAATAAGAGTCAGAGTCTAAAATAATGTAATCACTTGTTGTTCGGAATTAAGTTCTTTGTTGAAACCTACAAAAATAATCCATAAAAAATGTTCCATTCTTAATTCAAGTTTATCAAATACTTTCATAAGCTTATTTCACTGTTTAGTTCTCATTTTTTTTAAAATTTTTTTGTCTTCAAATTCATTATTAACTACACATTTAATGTGACTCACAATTTTTATCAATTTTTAATCATATATTTCATCAATTTTTCAAAATTTGTTAAAAATCTAATTTTTATCCTAACTAAACAAGGATAAGTTAAACCCGTGATTGACAACTATTATTGGAGAAAAAAAATCTACATATTCACGTAATAAAATATTTTATACATAAATGTTTTTTAAAAAAATCTACTTTTTAGTCGCACGTTTTTTTTTTTAATCACTATCTAAAATATTATTTTTTTAAGTCCTGTTTAATGGGATGTTTTTAATTGATTGAGTCCTCTAAAAGGAATGTCATGCTAAAAAGCAGGCAAAAAAGGGTCAGGTGACAGAGATGGTAGTGGTGGTGGGGGAATGGAGATGTTGAGTGAGTTGACGTGAGGAGTGCCGAGTCATCTCCGCGTGCTGTGCGGCGTTAAAATCCCTGACTAGCTCACACCCCAGTTCCCGACAAATGCAGCAGAGAATTGTCAGCAGCTCTATTCATATGCTGTCAAATGGACAAAACACTGCACCCTTTTTATCTTTTCTCTGCACAGCAACACCTGAAAGGATGAATGGAACTTTTTATTTTTTATTTTTTTGTTTTTGGCAGTTTCCATATATTGAAGTTTGGAAAAGAAAAAAGATATATTCCATTAGCGAAGGGCTAAAGCCGGCTAAACCATATAACGAGGTTGTCAGAGAGTACTACTCTCATGAAGCAAAAATTCATGGTACTCTTCATTTGGCGTACTTGGAAACGTGAATTCTATCTATCAAATATCATTCATGCTACTTGTACGACTATATTTAATAATAATTTTGATTGACAATTTACACTTCGCAACATCACATTTATTTATTTCAAAAATTATTTTTAAAGTCAATAATCTAAATTTTGACAACATCAAAGTGTCCACCATAATTGTCAAATATGATTGTACAAATAGATTAAGAGCATGTTTGTCCAAGATTAAAATTCAATTTTTACTGAAAATGTGGCCGTTATTGGATCCTCTAGTAAAAGTCAATAATAACGACTAGTTTTTCAATTTTAATCAAATTTTAATATCTACCGAACACGCCCTAATTCTTTATATATACATGAAAATTTTTGTCTTTGTCTTGATTTTCCTCACTCTCCGCAACAAGGAATGGGATGAAGGGGAAACATTTTGTATCTCTATTATGCTCATCATTATCAGGCTCGATTTCAACATTGATCCTGATAATGAGCAGATCAAAGGTCAGAGGTTTAATCGGTGACATGATGATTTAATCGACAGGTCAATTATTGTCAAATATATTATTAATTATTTTCATTGAATAATAAAATTTTGACATTTTCTAGCACTAACTAAGCTCATGTTCATCTCTCTTTAAAACAAAATTATTTAATTTTCATACTTATTTTCAACCAAATATTCACACAATAAAATATTTTCACGTAAATCTAAAAAAATTTCTACTTCTTAACCACAAATTCTCCAAAAAATTCACTATTCAAAATATCATTTTTTTTGTCAATAATGATCATCAAATATGGGCTAAATTATGCTCTTAAATTAGTGTTTCAATTGAAAAATTGAATGAAAATATATAATCTTTTCTCCATTATACTTTTACATTTCCTAACATAAACCACAACCGACGTTGAAGTTGGAAGCAAGTTGCTGAATAATTTTCTACCTAAAAAAACTTGTTAACAGGAAGAAGAAAAAAAATTGAGAATCGATAGTGTAAATTTGGCCATGTTTTATCAATCTGAAATTAGAGACCAAAAATATCTATAATCCATCGTAAATATATAGAATATATTTTTTTAGAATTGTTGCCAAAATGATC